CATTCGTTGACACATGCTTACCATTACCGCTGCATAAAGGCAACGTCCGCGATCACCCGACGGGCAGAATCGCTTGTTGGACTAGATTTGGCGGTCAGCACTCGCGGAGCATATTATATTTTAGCGGCTCGAAAGAATATGATAAGATTGTATTGGTACAGCGACTATAAGCTAGCCCGCTCAGAGCACATCCGTAGTTGGGGATTCCCCAACAGAGGGGGGGGGCGTATTCGGTCCGAGAACATTTTTTTGACAGTTGATTTTTCTTATTTGTATGCTATAAGAACGGTGGGTCGTGGTTTCTTTCTCGTCCACGTCCGCTAGCTAGGCCCACCTTTGTCATAATCATCGTTTCACGTTAGCTATATAGCGATAAAGCTTTGATTTCATACTTGACTTCACCATACCGTGGTCTACTTTGTTTTCCCTTTTCACCTCTGCGCTGTATGCTTTTTTGGTGCCCAGAGTCAACAGGGTTCTTACACAGGACGGTTCCGGTGGTTTGACTTGCTCTCTTCTTTGTTGATTTCCTAGTTACCAGAGTATGTGACGATTATATTCCCTTGATTATCTGCCTTGCAACCTCACATGGCAATCGCGCGCGCTGCATTTATTTGTCGGACTGCGCTTCATTCGGGTACTGTTGCACGCCGTTGCTCCCCGCTCGCGGCAATCCTCTTCGACGACCTTTCAGTAGGCGCGACAGCGGCTAAATTGCCCGACGTGCAGCAAGACATGCGATCTCAGAGGTCAGCAAGGGGCGAAGCTGCGAGGGGCCGGAAAAAAGCGAAGCTGAGAAGTATTTACATACAGGAGAGGGGCTCCCGCACAGGAATATGTACCAGTGGCTCCTTGTCACCATCGATCCATTGATAGTCCAACACCGAAATTGTTTGGTCAGTTCGGGAGGGCTTCACTAGGGAGACTTCTCATCAATATGCTATATCAATATCTCCCTATAAATATTGTTATTTCCCCTCTCGTTCCGCTGAATGTTGCGCCATGGTCGAAAGTTCAACCTCAGATAGCTTGCGCTGGCAACACTCTCCATACCATTTCTACTTCTTGCAGTACTATGATGTTTTGGATTGGGACGATGAGGGAACGGGGTATTTGACAAGATAACTGAACTATGCCTACTGGGTATGGGGAGCGATGCCGCGTCCAACGAACTGTCTTGTTCTGCCTGAATATGAACGCTGAGGAAAGGGAAAGGTCTTCACCGTTAAGGACATGGTACTTGCTCGCGAAAAGCATTGCCGGGCATCGCCGCTCGATGCATGCATCGTGCGGCATCGCCGCACCGTGCACGACGGCGCGGCAGACATGATTGCCTTGTCCGTTTCCCCTGTCCGAGAACTGAAAGGTATCACCAAATATTTTTTTTTTAGGTTGGCTGATGAAGTGATGGGGTTTTCAATGAAAAAATTTTTTCGAAAAGTGAAAACGTTTTTGCAAGCAAGTATATATACCAGTCTGGCTGACGCGCACTACTGCGCGCATGGTTAAACCCATGGTACTACGATAACTGACAGGATTTGTCCTGAGCACCGACACTTAGCCTAATTCCCATGTTTCGAGGACGACCCATTTCATCATGTTTCTCCATTTTAATGAACATTTGCCAGTGTTTGGTGCCTATCCGAATATTCTGAAAGCACCATTCGTTGGGGATAGGACAGCATAGCGGTGGGAAGAATCTCGATGATGAAGTCGAAATCATAGTGGCTCTTATCATTCCTCACTGGCCAACAATTCCTTTCCGGTGAAACTCGAGCGTTTAGCGGTGGAAGCAATTCCGACCGCTAAACTGAGGGATATTGCTAGGAATAGAAATTTGGCCACGATGATGTGAGCATATACGGAGTCCCAAAAGCCGTTGTCGGACACTGACAGAATTTATCTCCCACCTTTAATGTTCCCTGAGCACCCCTGAATTACTTGCTGGGAGCAGTTCCACAGTGTTGCAACAATTCTGCTGTGAATTTTCGGGGTATCTTATCAGCTCTTATCATATCCTGCCACAAACCAATAATGGTCCCATCCTGCACACTATTTTGCCTCTTGGAAGCGACGCCCCGTTGTGCTGGTCGACGTTGTGAGTTAGGTGTTCCTACCCTTCTAAGGCTCCTTATGGTATCTTATCAGCTGTTATCAATTCCTGCCACCCACCAATAATGTTCCCATCCTGCCCCCTATCTTACTTCCTGCAACCAACGGTCTATGCGTGCTAAGTGGCCGCGTTATGAATTAGACCACCACTCTTCTGAGGCTCTTATGGTAATCTTATCACAGCGTTATCACTTCGCCCACTGCCCACCAATAATCGTCCATCCTGCCCCTATCTTACTACTATCCAACGTCCGTCATTGCTTCTGGCCGTGTTGAAATAGGTAACCCACACTTTCTAGGCTCCTTATGGTATCTTATCAGCTGTTATCAATTCCTGCCACCCACCAATAATGTTCCCATCCTGCCCCTATCTTACTACTTGTATCCAACGTCCGGTCATTGCTCTGGCCGGTGTTATGAATTAGGTAACCCACTTTCTGAGGCTCCTTATGGTATCTTATCAGCTGCTATCAATTCCTGCCACCCACCAATAATGTTCCCAATCTTGCCCACACCTACTTAGTTCCTGCGCAACCAAGGTCTCATCGTTGATGTGGCCCGCGCTATGAATTTGGTGGTCCTCCCTTTATAAGGCTGCTCACGGTATCTTATCAGCTCTTATCAGTTCCTGCCACCACAAATATGTTTCCTGCAGCAACCCTAATATGACTAATAAGTTTGCAGCGCTCTGTCACTCTTTTGAGAGTTATGAATTTTCCGGTCAAAACACATACATACACACACACACACCGACACCAACAGACAAAACTTAGCGATTATATATAGTAGGATCTGATAGGAAACTTCTCGTAGTATAAGAATCAAGAAAGCTTTGGTTTGAGGATTATTTTTGTGAATTTTTTAGTCGTTGAAGTTGGAAGTGAAGTCGGCGAAAATTAGCATCTTCGACAACTGCCTCTATTTACGTCTACTCGAAGTGCTAAAATCGCTTAAGCTGCTCCATACATTCGGAAAAGGTTGAGGTAGAAGTCTCAGCAAGGGAATCTCAATAGGACGCTTTGGAACTAATTTCAAGAATTTCAAAGTTGGCAACCTTCACCTAAAATATTGGGGGCAGGCTCACGTCTGTTCCACCTGAAATTTCATGCTAATAGTTGAATTAATTGAATATGAATTTGATATTCTAATACTACGAGAAATTTGCTATTAAACGATATTAAGCTTGCTTGCAAAACGTTTTCACTTTGGAACAAATTTTTCGATTGAAAAAACGGCCATTACTTATTAGCCAGCCCACTGCTAGTGGGCTGGCTAATAACTGCTAGTGGGCTGGCTAATAAGTAATGGCCGTTTTTACAATTGCAAAAATTTTTAAAGTGAAAAGTTTTGCAAGCAAGCTTAATATCGTTTAATAGCAAATTTCTCGTAGTATTAGAATATCAAATTCATATTCAATTAATTCAACTATTAGCATGAAATTTCTAAATAGAGGCAGTTGTCGAAGGTGCTAATTTTCGGCGACTTCATCCAACTTCAACGACTGAAAAATCCACAAAAACTATCCTCACCAAGCTTCTTGATATTCTTATACTACGAGAAGTTTCCTATCAGATGATATATAACTTGCTTGCAAAACGTTTCACTTTTCGAACAAATTTTTCAATTGAAAAAAACCGCCATTACTTATTAGCCAACCTAATAGTTAGGGATCCCCTCGAAGACTAACACATACATTGGGTAAAATTTAAGGCAGTTGGCACGATAAATCCCTAAAGACGAGTAGGATTAATACGACTGGCATAGCAGAATTCCGTGAACCTGAACAGGCGCTGCGTAGCGCCTTTTCAAGGAGGGTACCCTTATAGTGCTCCATTGAGGCAGCAACATCCCGACCCAGACGTAGAGCGTACGCTGGCTTTTTTGTCAGCAGTAAAACGGTTCAAAGTCGGTAGACCCGTCCCAAAGCAAGCGCCCGCCTAATCTGTTTCGCTCGTCAACTGCCTTTGCAGTGCGAGCAAAGAAATAAAGCTCTGGTTTTTCGTGGTTCTCCTACCCATTTGCCCCGTTTTTCACTATTTTTGCATTACTGGACACCTTTGCTCTTTTTCAAAGTGCACATGAAATTATCGCGCCAACTGCTTTTAAGAACATTCATCTTCCAAAATTCCAGCTGGACTACATTATCATAACCGGCGACTTCGAAGCTCACGATTCATGGGATTACACGCAGGATTTGACACGCGAAAATATCCGCAATGTAACTGCTCTTCTGCTCGAGTACTTCCCGAATACTCCTATCTATGTATCTATTGGAAATCACGAAGGAGTACCTCAAGATGCGTGAGTTTCAAGAACCAATCACATCGTGCAGGAACAGCTTTTGGCCACACATATTTAAAGTTTGCCATCCCACACCCGAATGCTACTACATTCGACCCCTTGGGACTCATGAAGACTGCTACTATTTTCGAACCGCTACCAAGTTATCGTACCTTATGCCTTTGATGAAATTTTTTTACAATCTATACCTTTCTCCTAAATCTCTTGACAATTTGTTTACGAATGTCATTCATATAATTTTCAGGATGGCACCACATACAATGCCAGAATATGACCAGCGAGGACCACAGTGGTTGTACACCCTTATGAAGGAGATGTGGTCCAATTGGTTACCACAGTCCGCCCTAGCGGATGTACAGTAGTCAGTGTTGACCATCTTCCTTTTCTTTACATGATTTTTTATCACATAGCGACTTCAATTTATGTCAGTTGTGATTCAGCCGCGCCAGCTATGCAATATATCCCAAGCCTGGATTAAAGCTGATCTCCATCAACACTATCTACTGCTCGCAAATAAACTTGTGAGACCTGTGACTTTGAAGCAGGTGAAACAATCAAATCTCTATGGTTATTTACAGCTATTTGTACATAAATCAAGTGGATCCCGACGCTACACTTGACTGGTTAATCGATGAGCTTGTTGACTCAGAAACCAAAGGAGATAAGGTCAGACGTTTTCCATTTGTTTTTCAAAGTGTACAGAATGAGGAGCTCCACCACTTAGAAACTTATAAATAGCAGGATTATGGAAACCAGTTTCAGGTGCACCTTATCTCTCACATCCCTCCTGGAGATGACTATTGTCTCAAAGGATGGTCACATAATTTCTTCAAAATCGTGAAAAGGTACCAGTTTTAATAGATGTTCTGACTCCAGAAGACAAAATTTACGTTAGCATAACGGTCCCAAGCACAGCCTCGATCCTTGCAAACAAGAGGGCATGACACAGAGCGCAGCAGCCTGAATTCCCCCCCCTCGCGCTTTGTTGCGGACTTAAAATAGCATCATTATTGGAGAAGGCTGCCTTGGCAGCGCTCCAGTCCACGGCATCGTCAAGCTATTAGCAAGGATCATGACCGTAAATGATTATGACCGGCTTTGGGATGAGAATAATCAAGCGACTGTAGGGTATGGGTTGGGGGGGGGTACCTAGCTGTGTCAACTACTCGAAGGAGGCGCTGCAAGTAGCTGATTCAACAAGGAAATGGCCCAACTGATTCAAGGTGGCAGTACTTCAATGTGTCGATTCAAACTTTGCTGAATATGCTCTGCTGCTTTCCTGATTCGCAACGGATGAGAAGTTCTAACTTATGCAGGAATCGGGAGCACAGATAGAAGATGTGTAGCGAGGATGGTGCAGCTTTTGACTTGTATTGAGCCCCATAATTCATGAGGACAAGATGTGCATCGGGAAGGTGTCCGAGCTCTTATCTGTTTATTACAATAAGTGCGAATGACCACATGAGCAGAGGAAGAACACCTTACTCTCTGGGGTGCACCATGCGTTCACCAGGTGAGAGTAGTAATGGTATCGTAATGCATGCAAGACCTGTCACACGGAGTTTGCAAGGGCTGGCCCAGACGATTCTTCCCAGAAAGCGACTCCCTTATGGCATGGGTCGCTGAACCTTTCACGGAAGAAAAAGCAAAAAAGTCGAGAGCACTCTGAGTAAAGACTCCTGGCAACCTTGCTGTACGAGTACTCCGCACCTGCTCGTTTTATACTAGCAAAACGAGATCCTGCCCCTTCTGGCTTACTAATCGGTTGCTCGCGTTAGCCAAAGCCTCCCTTCTCTTTCCTTTCTTCTTCTTTCTTCCTTCTTTTCTTCCTTCCTTCTCTCCTCCTTCCCCTTTGCCTTTTCCCTTCAACTGCTGGATCAATAGATGTTTTACACACCTGTACTCTGAAGCCGCGAAAGTGGGACAAATTTAGAGACTGCGGACCAGACTACTTGTACAACGAGGACGCCTGCGAGTTGGTTGAGCGCGGGGACTGTCTCTAGTCCTTCCTGGGACGCACCCCATGTTCTATTTTCTTTCAAAATCTCACTGGATTTTGAATTGCAATATAACCCAACCCACGTATGGCAGCAACGGTGGCATTGTTGACCTGTATTGCTGGCTCCAAAAAACACAACAGCCAACTTTCTGGAACTTTTGCACAATCTATAAAAATAAACAATAAAATGTGAAATGTGAATGTGTTGCTCTCAGCCTTTGCATGTTTTAACCTCTCTTTTAAGATTCGAAAACACCATTGCAGAGCAGTTCTACGGACACACCCACAACGACCACTTCCAGGTGAGCTTTAGCACCTCTCATTCCCCATTAGTGGAGCGGCTTCCTAATCAAATGCTGTGGGAGCTATTTGAGTAATCCACCATTAGTATTTTGCCAAATTAATGTACAGTCCTCATCATTGCGGACCGGTGGGGCGTGTCAGTGCGGCTGCGTTTGGCGCGGTGCCAAAGTCGTTCTGCACCAGTTGTTGAAGCGGGCAAGTGACATTACTGTATTATATCCTTCGTATTACTCGTTTTCTACCACTTTTTGTCGCATACGCGTTTCAACAAAAGGCTGAGAACGGCTTCAACAGTGTGCACACTCATACTGGCTGACACGCCCCACCGGTCCGCAATGATGAGGACTGTACACCTCGCTTGTGGCTAACAATGTTTATGACGTATCTTTCTAAAAAAAAGGATGTTTATCAAGGTCCGAACTTGCAGGTTTACTACGACCCGGACGATAACATGCGACCATTCCACTTCAACTGGATATCTCCATCCCTCACAACGTACGACTTCAATATGCCAGCGTACAGAATCTATACTATTGATGGCGGTTATACAGGAGCCACCTATGTGAGTAACACAGTGGTGAGAAGTCATACAAAAAGGCTGAGATTATCAGAGAAAGTCAATGATTGAGTCGTTACCAAACTTCGTCTCCGTAAGAACGCAGCGGTAGGTCCCCATGAGAACCTAACGGTAACGTTGAAGATATCCAATGCCCCTGTTCCTGCCCGGATTGTGATCACCACTGATATCATTCTGTTCCGAGTTCACTTGACGCAAAGTAGGGCCAGCCTTGCAGTCACTGAAAAACGCGAAAGTAATGCAGTTTTTTTAGAAATCTGTTCAGCAGAAACAGTGAGAGTTTTGCCTGTTGAAAAGGTTTCTACAGTATCCAGCTGGGATGCTGCTAGCTTTCCGGGTCTTGTTCATAGTCCGTGGCAGTGATCATAACAAGTCCCCGCATTTTCTGGAAATCTGTCAGTGAAACTCTTCCCTGGACTAACTATGCCTTTTTCATAGGTTTGACAGGTTTGAAGTCATCACGACCTCAATCATGAATATTTGCATAAGTACCACTAATTTGGTATGTCGGTCCGTCAGCCTATGAATTTGCGGCATGCCCGCATTTTTGGCAATGTTAACTTTTGGATAACGGGAAGTACACAGCATCACATAATTGCGCGTAAAATTAAGTGCATCGACTTCATGGACACACTCACTTGGGCATACCGTCACCAGCGTCCGGTTCAGTTTGAAACATACCAACCAACTGACCACTTGTTACAACCCTCTGGCACAACATACTTATGCACTTTTCACTATGGACTCGCCCTCATCTGCGCGTAAAAATGTACATGGCAGGAAAGCCTCAGGCCGAGGATTCAAAGCCAGGCTGTGCAGGTCCCACATTCCACCCATGGCCTGGAACGTAGCAGCGTAGCTGCCTAGGCAGATATAATGGAATTGTTGTGCACGCTTTGCAGGATCCAATCTGTATATCTCCTGTTGTCCTGAGATGGTGTCCAATGACACACGCTGGTGCGTTATCGATACCGATACCATTCCAAAGCTATATATGTACAGGAACACAGCCATGGACGACTGGCGCCAGTTACTGGTGTTTTGGGAGAGTATAGGAGAATAGGAGAGGGGGAACACTACCTTATCACCCAGCCTGCTACCCTCATATGCTACTAGCACGCAGGGCCTCGACACGAGCACTGACGCAAGAGTCTGAATTGACTACCTAAGCTTTTATTGCCTCAAGTGGTGGTGTTATGCGGGTAAATGGGGAATAGTGAGGCTGGCGTCAAGCTGAAGCCCGTCCACAAGCTGAGTCAGCCTTAGCGGCGTGGTCGCAATTCGATCTAGCGTGCGTTCCTAAGCGTAGTTTGTTGTGTTTGTGAGGGTTCGAGTACCTCTAGACGCTATTAGTCTCGGTGAGCGTCCTTAGAGTCTGAAATGGGTCGGCGGTAGCGTCACTTTTTTTTTACTTGCCAGGCTCCGGGATGCGACAAGGCCGAAAACGCGTTGAGCCAAATAGACTTTGTATTTATGCGGTGTGTGTTTACCATCTTATTCAGAAGGCCTCACACGATGCAGACGATCATGAAAGTCGATGATGGATAATCGGGAAATGTTTAGAGGATACGATAACTAAAAAGAGACACGCTGATGACAGCGAGTTTGATTCAGTTAACATACTTCATATATGAGGTAATTTATTTAGCCAGTGGAAGGAAAGGGGCTGTCGGAGGAGAGGGCGCGCGCGGGAGGTTTTCGGAGGGGAAGATCTCACTGACACCGACTTCACACATTACGATGCTGCAACTAGTTTGTAAGACCTTCACTGCACTTATAGGTTTTATTCTGAAGCTCACAGAGATCTGGAGAGTTCACATTTCGAGTGATATTTGGTTTGCTAAGAGACTTGCCAGAGGCACGGGTGTGCGGGGGGGCAACCTTGCACAAATGCCGGAGTATGGGGAAGCTGAGCATAAGTAGTAAATATCATAGTGACTCGCCAGCACGATACGACCTCGGAGGGTATGATGGGTTTGTGACTCGGGGCGCGTTTGTGTGAGCATTTGACCTCAAAACGACTCGTGCCAAAGAACCAAGTGCCAGAGAACCACCTGCTTTTTTTGCATGAGAAGCAATTAATGCCATTGAAAAATCATGCCCCTTGTCAGACATGCATTTTTTTTGCTTCAGAGAGTTAAAGATGCCGAGACGTACTATGGTAATGTGACGGAGGCAAACATGAATAACAAGCCACCAATATGGAGACTGGAATACACCACGAAAGTTTGTTATCAGAAATCTCCTTCCCGGAACATTATTCATTGAATCTAATTGGCAGGCTTTCTACAATATGACCGATTTATCGCCTCAATCTTGGTCAGACCTAAGCGATCGACTTTGGAACGACAAAGAACTCTTCAGACAGTTTATGAAGTGAGTTAAGAATCTCTAAGTAGAGTAACCGAGCTTAGAAGTCGCTGTAGTTCTGTACTTTTACTAGAAGTAAATGTTTTTGGTTTAGTTTGCCTAAAAATGTACAACAAGGGGCCCCGCGCTAATATCGAAAGGAAGACAAACATATAATGACTTTTTTCGTATTGAATTCAGGATTCCATAAAGAGTTTCTTTTTGCTCCTATCGAGCATAATTTTAACACTCTGGGTGAATAAAGAACTCAGATGAAGGCGTCAAAATTCCCCAAGGCTCTCAAGTTAAAACGATTAAAGGGAGGCCGCGCACTAAATTGGTTGACCTTGACCAGCGAATCAAGTTTTTTTCATCGTTATGCACCGTAGAGGCTATTGTCTGCATAGTTTGCCTTAACAATGGTTCGCGGACACAAGCCGTTGTTCAGCACTGTTTGGCCTTCTCAACAAGTTGTACCAAATAATCCTTTTCGGAGATAATTCCTTAATGCTTCTGTGCCTCTCGAGGTTTTCAGGTGGAATATTTATTTAGCGGCCTAACGTTTCGACGTGGTCGTCTTCTTCAGAGGCCTAAACGCGTTTCGAGTTAAGGAGATGAACACTACCCCGCCAAGCGCCCAACCAACCCTAGCAGTTCCGATGATGTGTTCGGAACTCAACAAGAAAATCCTACAAAATGCGAAAAGCGCACTCACCACGATTCCGCGCCGTCACATGCGGATGTTAATCAGTAGCGAATGAGAGTTACTGT